CACCCGCCCACCAGCCCATCAAGCCCAGCCCAGCCCACCTTCTTCTGGTTCAGCGTTTGTCTTGTCTTTCCTGAACCTGGCCCAGCCTGGCTAACCTGACCCTCTTTCTCTCACTCTCTCTCTCTCTCCCACACACACACACACACACACACACCCACTCACACACTTAGAAGCACCTACCCCACTGCACCTCCCTCGTCGTCCTTCAACACTTTGACTCGACCTGCCCCAGCACCCAGCACTTCGCAGCTCCTCTTGTGACACCAATCCGCCGAACCCAATTTTCTCCCATCTACAAACCACCATCGTCGCTCTCTCGCGAGCGTCCTCTCTACCACGACTCTTCAACCCACTCTTCGCCTCGCCCTTCTTCCTTTTTTTCCTCCGACAAACTTCGACTTCGACTCGATTCCAGTACGGCTCGCGACCATGGCTGCCTGAACAAACCGCCCGACCGCCGCCTTTCGCTTCTCCGGCCGCCGTGCGCGCCGCCCTTTGCCGTGCTTCCCCGCGTCACAACCGTACATGATGTCGAATCGTCACTCACTCCTCTACACTTTCCAGTCCAATACTGCATCATGGAATCGAATTCCTCACAGCAGCAGCAGCAGCAGCAGCAGCAGCAGCCGCCGCCCCACCAACCTCAACCCTCCCGCCACCTTCATCTCGCCCACCTTCACGCCTTGATCCCCCCTCCTTCCACATCTCCAACGCCCCCTCTGCGAACGGCGGCGAGCACCCCCATGAGTTCGCCAGGCCTCTTCAGCCCCTCGAATCCTCGCCCGAGGCACAACTACCCTGGCCGTGCCGCCTCCGACTCGAATACTCCCGTGCAAGAGGTTTCCAGTCCCTACCTCCATCCCCTTCAGCACCACAAAGTTAGGGAGTACGTGCAGACGGACATTGGGCTGCCCAAATCCTCTCTTTCTTCGTCGCGACCTTGGATTGTTGCTAACACACGTCGCAGGACGCACAAGGCCCTGATCGATTCAGACAGTATCACAGGCCGGAAGCTCATCAACCAGTATGAGGTCATCGAAGAAATCGGCCGCGGCATGCATGGCAAGGTCAAGCTGGCCAGGAATATCGAGACGAACGACAATGTGGCCATCAAGATCATTCCCCGCTACTCCAAGCGCCGACGTCTAGGCAAGGTTGCTGCCATGTCCCCCCAGGACAAGACGATGCGTGAGATTGCCATTCTGAAGAAGATGCGCCACCCAAACGTCGTTTCCCTCCTCGAAATCATTGACGACCCCGAGCTGAAGAAGATTTATCTCATTCTCGAACACGTCGAGCTTGGCGAGGTCGTCTGGCGCAAGAAGGGCTTGCCACACATCTGCATGCATGAACGCCGCCGAATCGAGCGTGAGATGCGCGGTGAAGCCCCAACTCCTGAGGAGGAACAGTATGACCTCTTCCTGGAGAGGCGTCAGGCCATCAAGGACCTCAAGAGGGCCAAGATGTCGCAGGCGAACGCAGGACCACACGACTACTGGAGCATCGAACACGGCATTGCCGACGACGGCAGCAATGCGTCTCAGTCCCGCGTCCCGTCCAACGACGATCTGGCCCTCTTCGACAGGCTGCCCGGCGATGTGTCTCTTCCCAGCTCGCTACGTGCTTCTCGCGCCACATCTCGCGCCCCTTCTAGGACGCAGTCTGTCAAGTCGATGAACCAACCTCCCCCGGACCTATCGGCCTCACCCGACGGCAGTGACATGGAGACCCCCGGCCCCCTCCGTTCCAGCAACCAAGGCTCCTCTGCGGCCCTGGACGGCACCATGTATGGGGCCTACATCGAGGAGCGGGCTTTCCGTGGCCGCTCCCCTAGCATGGCGGATTCCATCATCTCCCATATGTCATCTATCGACTGGAACCCCCGCACCCACGACCCCTTCGCTGACGACTTTTCTTACGTTCCTTGCTTCACTCTCGAACAAGCAAGGTCTGTATTCCGAGACACCGTCCTTGGCTTGGAGTACCTGCACTACCAGGGCGTTGTACATAGAGACATTAAGCCGGCCAATCTGTTGTGGACAAAGGATCACCGGGTCAAGATTTCCGACTTCGGTGTCTCGTACTTTGGCCGCCCCATTCGAGATGGCGAGCCTGACGACGAGGCCGTGTCCGAGTCGGAGGCCCAAGACTTTGATGACGATCTTGAACTGGCCAAGACCGTGGGCACACCTGCCTTCTTCGCCCCCGAGCTCTGTTACACAGACACCGACCGCGTCGAGCAGCCAAGGATCTCTGAACAGATTGATATCTGGTCTCTTGGCGTCACCTTGTACTGCCTTGTTTTCGCACGCATCCCCTTTCAGGCAGAAGATGAGTGGGCCATGTTCAAGAAGATTGCTACCGAGGACGTCTTCATCCCCCGCCAGCGCCTGCGGCCTGTAGACCCGTCTACCAGCCCCGACGAGAACTCGCTCTACAAGCGCCAGAACAAGAAACCCTATCGTGACGACAACGACCTTGTCTACGAAGAGATTGACAATCTACTCTACGACCTCTTGAGGCTCATGTTCACCAAGAGCCCAGACAAGCGCGTCAGGTTGCGTGACATTAAGCGCCATCCTTGGGTTGTCCAGGGAATATCGAACCCGATTGCCTGGATCGACGAAACAGACCCGGCCCGCCCATCACAGGGCCGGAGGGTGCAAGTTGACGCCAAAGAAACCGCGCATGCCGTCGTCCCAATCACCTTCCTCGAGCGTGCCCGCTCGGTCGTCAAGAAGGCCGTCGGCAAGGTCATGCACCCCCTGGTCAGCGAGCGCGGCGATAGCAGATCACGCAGACGGGCAACCAGCAGTGTGGCCAGCTCTGCCGGTGAAAGCAACGTTCCCCATGCTGCAGTGCCCATCACCAACCCGCGGGATCTGCGGCGGAAAAGTCTCAAGAGCGATGAGTACTTCGCTGGTATCTACTCTGCTACGCCAGATCACCCTCTGTCGCAAAGCGTAGAAGCTAGTCCCTCTGACTCGGCGTACGATCCTCTTGCCACTGCCATCGCTCAGCCTTCGCAGAGTGCATCGTCAAGTCAAAAGGGGAGGAGTGTTCGGGATGCCAGCAACGAAGAATGGCCGGCTTCGTATGACTCGAAGAAAAGTAGTGCTTCAGTCTATAGGCCAGCGAACAGGCAGCCCCAGACCACAACCGGCAACAACTTCCTGGCTTTAACGGCTGCGTCGACCGGTTCTCAGACTGTCCCTTCATCTCCCGCGGCTGCCATGTATGAACCCAAGAAACAGCGCTATGTCGATCAACACGGCCTGGACGATACCTCTCGGTCTCACTCGGTCGATCGCAGCCTCTTTGCCAGCGCTGACAAGCGTGCTGCGCCTCAGGTCGGGCTCAGCAATGCAATGGCGCCCGGCACCGTCCACCGGACACCGAGTCGACCCCGACCTGTACGCTCAGTCGATCTGGGCAAGGCCGTGAGGGAGAACAACCCGTCACTCGCATCACCACTATTCTTTTCATCACAAGCCATTACTGGCTATCAGCATGGTCAGCCTCACTCCGATTCGAATATACTCGACGGTCGAAAGGGTCCTGCCATGTTCGATGAACGACCAGCAACGGCACACCGCAGGGATCGCCCACAGGACGTGCCTGACGGAAAGACGCCGTCGCCTCGTTCATACAACACCTCGACACCTGAATCCTTCGCCAGGGCTAAGGAGGGCCTCATCAAGAAGCAGGTGGACGAATACCAACGTAACCTGACTGATCAGCTGCTGGACGCCAAAGAGACGCCCGTTTTTGACCCCGCCGACATTCCTTGTCCGCCATCGCCCGATGACGAAAACCCTCCGCCAGTGTCCAGGGGTAGCACCATGGAAACGGGCAAGTTGTCGAGATCTGCGTCAATGGCTGGTCTGACGACACCACTCACCAGTCCCAGCGAAGTTGCCAGCCCCATGTCGTCGAGTGCATGCCCATCAAAGGAGCAGATGCTCGTCTTCCACTCGGACCCCTCATTGCCCGCTCTTCTGAGCGGCGCGAGCTCTGTTTCGGCTGATCAAGAGTCCGAACCTGTTGACTCGAAAGCTCTGAGCGGTCGCCCCAACCTTTTAGAGACGACCGATTCTCTGACGCCGCCTGCTTTCGCTAAGGAACCTGTTGCCGGGTTCCCTATTGAGCACCTTGAGCAACAGTCCTTTGATAGCGGTGTCATCGCGGTTCAGCTTGATGTGCCGAGCCCGCTTCGAAGCTTTGCTTCAACGCCGGAAATGCGACCTGCCGACGATGATGACGATGACAGCGACAGCGATGGCATTTTCATGTTCAACGCGAAAAAGAAGAAGGCCCCCGCTGCCGGCATCAGCAAAACTCATTTTGAGCCACGCCGGAGGGATACAAACGCGAGTATTGCCAGCACCGAGACTGCCAAGAGATACGCCGTCAATGAGACGTCATCTCAACCCGAGTGAACGTGCAAACAAGCCGAGCATTTTCGAAACACACCAAACCTCCCCATATTTCTCTACCTATTCTCTACTATCAACCAACATGCCAAGCAAGTCGGCATGGACACGCCTTTGTCTGCACCACCATTGCATTCAGACACGGAGAGGGCATCTGCATCTTGGCAGACGGCCGTCTCACTGGACCTCATCGCATCAGACAGCATGCAATCATATTGCAACCGCAGGCAACTCGAGAGAAGAGCCGCGGAGATTTCTCATCTGGGAGGCAGACTGTTTGAAAACATGTAGAACTGGCGCGGACATTTTATTTTTCAAGCCGTGTTTCGTTCACGCCCTGCCAAAGGGCATCACCAGATTGGGAAGGCCATTTTGCTTCAAGAGATCTATTTGGATCATTGGACCCTTCTTCGAAGAAGGGCCAACGGGACAGGAACGCAGGACGGAGCCTGCGAGCAGAACCAACGACTCATCTCTCTACTTTCCTCTTCTACTTCTTCTTTTTTTTCTTCTTTCTTCTACTTTATTCTTCGGGCGTCTTCTTCATTACGACAGATTGTCAGAGGGAGCGGACGGTGCAATGGATGGGGATGGGCAATTTGTGACGATTATACGCAGGATGATGGAATGAAGCCGGGCCGGGCCCCAGGCGCCCCCGACGGGGTTGCGTACATGCTGCCTTGGGGAGCTGGGCAATGGCTGGACGGAGGGGGATGGGAGTTACATGACTTGGGAGGAACGGAATGCCGAGCAGGACGGAGAGGGCAGGTTGTTTGTTGTGCGGTTACGTTGCATTGCATATATCCCATCTTTGGCGGCCCAAGGGGGCTGTCAACTGTAATGAAGGAGGGAAACCCTCAGCGGGGTCTACGATACCAGATGGATGAGCGGGATGGGATCGGGATGTGAGGACTTTGAGAGAGACTGGCGTCTCTGTTTAGCGTAGTCGTATCAACATCAATAGAGTGGATCGACGATCCTTACCCACGAAGATTGTTCTTTGATGCTTGTGGCAGATGCAACGTGCAGGCGTGCTTGTTTGGGTGCCATGCGAAGAGACAGATGAGACAGCAGGGATGGTGGAGCACATTGGTGGAATCATCAGTTAATTACTACGCTACATGTGTGCCGTGTGCTGCCCGAACATGGCCGTCAGCAGACAAATCTACAGAGAAGCAGAAAAACGAGAAGAGGCTCATGTTGTCGTGTTTCTTCTCGTCCATCTCGCACGCACGCCGGCCTGTTGCAATTGTGGTATCCTCGCAAGTCGTCATCATGCCAAACAATCCGTGCCATCCATAACGTCGTGTCCCGTTGAGCCTTACAGCTCCTGCTTGTCCTGCTCGCCATGCTGCTCCTCCTTGCGCTGGTGCTCGACGGTATCGTCGGTAGAGGCGGTGTCGACTTCGGGCTCGGGAGCTAGGCTAGGCGCAATGGCTTCCTCGAGCACGAGTGGCGGTTCCGCATTGTCCTCGTCGTTGACGAAAGAGGCCGCTGGCGCCTCGTCAACCGAGCTGCTTCCTGAAGCGTCCTCGTGCTCAAGTTCGGCCTGCTCCTCCTCCAGTGCAGGCTGCGCAACTTCGGTGGGCACAGTCGAGGGAGACGGTGCCTCCTCTGTGACAAAGGCCTTGACCGTCTCGGTCTCTGTGACCGTCTCGACGACACGGACGACTTCGCGGGAGGTGACGGCTTCTTCGACCGGAGCGCCAATCTCAGGCCTGACGTCGGCAGCGGCGGCTGCGCTGGGCGTCTGGCAGGGATCCTGTGCCGTGTTCGGCTCGAGCACTGCGGATGAGGATGCGTCGACCGGTTCCACGGCAGGTTGAACTGCAGGTTCCGCGACTGGCTGGACCGCCGGTGCTGCGGCCACTGTCTTGATCTCGACGACCTCGGGCATGCCAGCATCGTTGCGAGGTATTTTGCTCTCCCAATCGTACATGCGCATGTCATCGCGGACAGGCGGCTTGACAGCCAAGAAGAGGACGAGCAAGGTCAAGAGCACGAGGGCCACGTTCTTGCGATCCTGCAGCAACACGCGTGTGGCCTCGAGGAGGAGCTCGGGGAGAGAAGCGTTCTGAAGGGGTGGTGGAGCGGCCTCACGCCTAGCTTCACGTCGGGCACGGGCCTCTTCTGACGGTGAGACGGGTGTAGGGCCCGGGATATAGCTGTCCGGAGTCGGCTCGGATGATCCTGCGTGAGAAATAGTTGGCTGAGGGGTGTCGCCGTAGATTTCCCGCATACGGGCTTCGTCACGGAAACGACGCTCTTCGAGCTGGTCATGGCGGGAGACGGTGTCCGAGGAGAGCGGTGTTGGCTCAGCAGGGCTGATAGCGGGGAGGGGTGATGCCATGGCCAGAGCTGGCAGAGCAGCATGCTCATTGTAGTCATTCTCCATCATGGAGCTCTCGATGAGGGCGGCCTCGGCGGCCTCAGCTTCAGCGGCCTCGTCAGCCTCGCGCTCGGCGGCTTCGGCAGCCTCTCGTTGCTCGATGGCAAGTCTTTCCAGCTCGTCCAGCACGCCACCCTCGATGATGGGCTCTATCTCAACGTCGACACGCTCCATCTCCTTCCAGCAGGCGTCCCAGGCACCCGCCTTCATGAGACCGTTGCTGGCGTACACCTTGACGCGGAAGATCTTGCCGGGGCCCAGAGGCTCAAACTTGATCTCGTGGTGGCAGGTGGTACACCAGTGCGTCTGCTCGTGCAGGCTCTTTCTCAGGAGTGAACTGCTCTGGCGAGAGCGGAGCTCCGGCTCGTCCTCGTCCTCGCTATCGAGATCTTCGGTGAGGGTTGCCTCGTTGGAAGGCCCGAGATAATGTCCGCACTCGAGGATCCGGGCACGGCGGCGGAGGGGCAAGTCGAGGGCGTCCAGCAGACGCTCCTCGAGGACTTCAAAGTCGTTCTGAGGGTGGGGTAGAAGGACACCACGGTCGCAGACGGTGTCGTCGAGACGGTCGTGCAGGCGGCGCCAGTAGTCACGCAAGGTTTTGGCCTCGGGAGAGAGAAGGTCCGACGGAGCTGCCTCGAGGACATCGGCCCAGGGCCAACGTAGCGGCAACAGGGTGGCGTGCAGGAGCACGAGCGGGGGCGTCGTCTTGCGGGGCTTCAGGCGCGAAGGCGTGGTGCGGCCCTTGGGTGAGTACTGGGCCGACATGGAGGGGCTGCCGAGGCGGGAGATGGTGGGCATGTGTGGGCGTTTGGAGGATCGAGGGGAGCCACCAAAGACCGAGGGAGCAGGCGAGGACATTTGGAGGGCGCGGACGTCTGAGGTGGAGTGGAAAGCTGGGCGTGGGGTGCTTCGAAGGGTAGGTTGGAATTCTCGTAGGTCGTAGTGGGAGAAGTCGGAGATACGGGAGTGCTCGGTGCGCGTCTCGTCTTGGTCGTCGACGTGTTGGCTCCTCTTGAGGTTCTTCATGCCATTGTGCAGGGATCCTTCGAAGGAGCCGAGCGAGCTCCGGGCGCTGCGGTCGCTGAACACTTCCGAGTCGGCCTCGTGGTGTGAAGAGCTGTCGCCGGCGCGGTCGTCGTGCGAATCACTGTCGTGGCGGCTGGCCTGCGATTCCGAGGCGAAGGATCCGTGCGAGTTGCGAGAGGCGCGCGAGTTGCGAGTGTCACGCGAATCTCGACGATCGGCGTCCGTCTCCGTGACGTAGCTGACGTCGGTCCCCTCCACCGTGTCATTGTCATTGACGTGGGAGCTCAGCACAGAGCGTTCCTCCTCCGTCTCGCCATGGCGGTTGCGCTCGATCTGGTCGACGACAGCTTGGGCGGCAGCGTGGATGAGGGCGTCGGTCCGACCAGAGACGCGGCGGTCGCCCGCCGGCTGGACGTCGCTGGTGCGGTCGTCGTGGCCTGCGAAGTCTGCCGTGTCGATGGACTGGTCGTGGGCTGCCATGTCGAAGCTGTCGTCCTGTGACTGTTGGGGCAAGCTGGCTACGAGACTGGCCTTCTCGTGCTGATGGTTCGTACCATCGGTTGCTGGCGTTGCGGGTTCGGCCCTGTAGCTTTCGTCTTGGGAGGCAGATGTGTGATCTTCCATGGGTGTGCTCAGGCAGGATGGGTCGACATGAATGTCAAAGTCAAAATCGCTAAAGCCAGCTCGGGGCATTGAGCCGTTGGAGTAGGTGGAGGAGGGGCGGACAGGGTGGTGTTTGTTGTCGGGGCGGTTGTCTGCGGCAACAGCAACGGCAAGGCAAAGGCAAAAAGCAACGAGTCAGAGGGCCGGTCTCGAGGGGTTGTAGATCCAAGTTGGTGTATCCGTACCACGAACCAGCTGTGTAGGCAGAACGAGGGAGCGTCGGATTGCAACGCTGAGATGTGTGTGCCGCAAGGGCAAGATTTGATGTCCGGGTTAGGTACCTAGGCAGGTAAGGTAAGTAACTACCTTAGGTAGCAGAGAGCGGTGAGGTACAGGTGCGCGGGCAGGTACCAGCGCAGGTGGTTGGGCAGAGGTGCAGCAGGCAGGCGCATCCCGCCGGCGTGTTTACTCTGGTTGCCCCGTCAATCGACCGAGTTCCCGCCTATCATCATCTGCCAGCGCATGGCGCCATCATCAACGGCAACAATTGGGCTCTCTGAGAAGACCGCTTCTTCGACTCTGGTTTCTCTTGAAGTTGACTCCAATGGACGTCGTCGGAACAAACTATGTCTTGATACCACTAGGATCGCAATTTACATGCCAACGCATGCCCAAGCTTGCTAAGGTGTACTCGAAGAGAACGTGTGTCTGCTGTGGATCGCCGCCGACGAATGTGGGCCCGGCAGCTTTATCTTATCGCTCTCATTCAATTCAGGCCCTGCCCTGCCTTGACTGCTACCGATGTATCGATTCTCAACCCTGCCTGAGCATCCGAGCAGCTCCGGAGTTACAAGAGACACCGCGACCTACCAAACCTCGGGGCCGAGACGACCTCAGACGATTTTGGCGTGGCTCGAGAAACGGTGGGTGCGGGACGGGAAGCTGTGGACGAGCGGCGCCCTGCTGAACGGCGCTGACATGGTGTCTGCGTTTGTGCGCGAGCACTGGGGCCGTCAGGAGGGGAGCGTTGCGGAGAGCACGGCAGAGGTCGGGGCTTGGCCGGACCGTGACGTTGATTATAGGGATGCTTAGCAAGTGGAGGGTCCATGGCTGCTGGTTGAGTGCTCTCTGGTGCCGAGCTAAGATGGATGGACGACTGGCTTGCTTGAGGTCTTGGAACGATTTTTAGCAGCGGTACCGATTGGGTTGTGCACACGTGTTCCATTAGCATTTGAGTCTAACTAAATGCTCTTGAATCTAACTAAATGTTCAATATGAGTAGTGATTTTTCTCGACTATTTTCAAGGTCTGACAAAACGGCCGTTTGGTGTAGGTTTGATCTCACCAGGAGTAAAGTCATCCGAGTTGTCCTCGTCTAGCCTGTATCGACAATACATGACCGTAATACAAGCCAGACAGCTGAGAATAATGGAGGCACCGAGTGACCTGAATTAAGTCCCCTAAATTCCCATGCCGGAGCTTCTCGCCCACAGTATTAAAACGAACGCTAGACATACAGGCTCATATCATCTCGGTTTCTGTGAGAAGAGCGACAAGAACGGCAAGATGCAAAGTCCACGACCGAGGCTCGGGCCTCGAAGCTAGAATCCAGGCCTTCAAAGAAGCGAGTCGAATACTGTTGGGGATTATGCTGTCAGGCTGAGCGGTCAACCGGGAAAGGGGGGGGCTGAAGACCTTGAAAAAGATGCTTCAGAAGACCCTGGACAAGACGCTTCAGCATCCCCATACGAGTGTCCCGATTTTATGTACCTCATGGCTCCTAGTTGCGTCTGGGTTGAGTGGTCTGACGAACATGGACCAAAGCTTTAAGGACATCTGCGGCGCCGAGCAATGCATTCGATCGAACATCTTGGCCTGCTTTTGCGAATTCACTGTTTGGTGATTACTATCCTCCTTCACGTGAACCCACGCAAGCCGCTAAAAATAAATATCATGGTATGAGTCGCAGCATTGGATTTTGGGACGGGCATTTATTTGCTGCTAAGCGTTACGCACCTCATCGAAGGATTGCTTATACCTCCAATGCAGGCAGTTCACATTGGCCAATAGATCGAGTTCGAAAGTGCGGTTTTGAGGCCAAAAGCGAAATTGGTGAGCAGTCCAAATCAGCGCAATGAATCAAAAGCACATTTGACGATTCTCATGAGAGTATAGTATCATTTACTCTAGTCCACGAAGCATAGCCTCTGGTATATTGTATATACCTATACATTTTTACCTCACCAGTTTTGGCTGACAGCACAACAGATCAAGGGCCAGCTTTTGGCCGATCTTTCCATCATGTCCAAGTGGGATAACAATTCATCGTCTAAATCTCTACCTGATTGACAGTGCTGTTTCGAGCACACCTTGGTAGCGTTGTGGTTTTGGAGCATTTGGCACAGAGAAAACGCGTCTCATCATAGAGAGTGCTGTGCAGGATCGCAATTGTCCACTTCCCGGATGATCGCGGGGCAGATAGTCAGCGATGGCTTCAGCCTCAACTCCCCATCGCACCATCCCTCATTATACGATTAAAACAACGCCAAAATCAGGTCACAAGCACATAACCCAAACGCACACCACACACCACATCAGACATGGCGCAACAACGAAAACTGTACATCCAAATGTCGGGCGCCCCCGGCTCCGGCAAGAGCACGCTCGCCCGGCTGCTCGCCAAGTCGACCGACGCCATCGTCTTCGACCACGACGTCATCCGCTCGACGATTCTCGCGCACGGGACCGCGTTCGACAGCGCCGCCAAGCTCGCCTACGGCATCGGCTGGGCGCTCGCCGAAGACGCCATGCGGCAGGCGCGCAGCGTCGTCATGGACAGCACGTGCAACTACGCGGAGACGCTGGGCCGGGGGCGCGCGCTCGCCGAGCAGCACGGGTACGAGTATTGGTATGTCGAGTGCCGGGTCGACGACCTTGCCGTGCTGGACCGGCGCCTGCGCGCGAGGGTGCCGCTGAGGAGCCAGAGGACGGGCATCGACGCCGCGCCTCGCGATGCTGGGGCGATCAAGAACGGGGTTGAGGCCGAGGCGCGATTCAGGGAGCGCATGGAGAACCCGTGTCGGCCGGACAGCAATGTCATTATTGTTCATTCTATCGGAGACCTCGAGGACCGGCGGGACGACGTTTTGAAGCGTTTGGATGGACGTTGAACGAGGGGGGATCATGGACACATAGCTCCGATCACAGATGCGACCGACTAGTCAGTCGCCTGGATACCCGTGATTAAGCTGTCGATATGGAAATGTAGCAGGTTTCATATTGTTGCCGTCCGTATCGCTGCCCTTGTGTTTCTGTAAGTATGAAAAAGACGGTTAATACACATATCAGACAAAGCTGCCAACTCATCTACACTTTCGCAGCAATCAGCTAGCGACGCTGGGATAATTTGGAGCGCAAGCCGTCTCCGCGATTGATCGTCTTTGCCCCAAGCACGAGACGCAGACAGTGTCTCGGGTGCCCTGCAGATGATATACGAATAGCACGTGGAGTCTCCCCCCCAGAAGACGCCGATCCGGCTCGAAGCCGTTGCAGCTGAACACAAGTACATGTTGTGACATGGCGAGCGATCAATTGACAGCAAGTAGCACCGCGGGGTACGCGGATGGGTGATGCCACAAGTAGTATTATGCCGCAATACTCTCGAGCGCAACTCGGACCAGCAGCCACCCCTATAACAGGGGACTTGGAGACGGTGTCAAGGCAGCAGGACGAGGTTACGCAGCATGATGCACCGAGTTCCCGAGCAACCCTCCCGTGCAAAGAGGCCATCTCCGCAGAGTCGGTAGGGGAGGGAGAGCTGCATGAACACCTCGAGATCGGCAGCGTGGAACCCCCCTCCCCGCCGTCAATCCCACTGCCACCCACAAAGAGGGGAAGACGCATGGCCATCTCGCAAGCGACGCTCGATTGATTGAATCGGCGGTTTCAATTGCGCACCATGCCGTCGATTGGGACTGTCCTGTGCCTGGCTGTCGATGTAGAGACCAAAGGGACAAGAGGCAAAAACAAAAGGCCGACGCAACCCCCACCCCCCCCCCGCAAACTCGCTAATGCTGCGAAGGCACGGAAGGAGATCGTTTTTGGAAAGGATCGCGTTGCTTGGGATGGGAAGGGGGGCTTCCGCAGTCTTCACACCCACGGCTCACGAGTTACCATTTATAACCTGTGCAGAGGGTAGGCCTGGTCGTCGGTAAGTGTGTCCCGGGGGAGGGGGGAGCCAATTCTGGATAAATTGGAATTGCACCCAGCCAGCACTCCCAGCCAGCACTGCCCACATGTGTGGTCCAGGGGAGAGGGAGGGGGCGGACGGGAACAAGCCTTGTTCCTGTCCCCCCCTGAAGCAGAACCACGCGAGAGGGGGAACGCAGAACAGAACGACGGGCGCGGCTGTGGGTTCGGATGAAATGGCCAATGCTTCCGGAGGGGGTTGCATTGCCTACAGGGCGGATATGCGGGCGGCTGGGGATGGTCGAGTGATCCAAGTCAGGACGATAGGTCGTCGTGCCGCTCATCGCCTCGACGGGGATCGGGAGAGGAAGACCGGGGGGGTGGGAACAAAGACGATCTGAGAAGGACTGATGGTCAGACGTGATGGACAAAGGGAACATTTTGTGGCTCATGTCGCAAAAGCGAAGGCCGATACGACCATGCCCTTGCGCGCCTAACAAACGGACTGGCCGCGAAGGCGTTGCGCTGACGGGGCACTCCCATGTTGCACAACATGGCCGACGTTGCAGCGGCGATACGAGCTTCTCAGGCACCAGCAGCTAGCTCTATGGCGCGGTAGATGACTCGCCAGTGGTAACACATGTACACATGTCGGGTGAGACTGGTCGACTCCGGCCATCTCGGAGGAACCCCCGGCCAGCGCCGAACCGCCCGCGCCAACTGGGCGAGATGAGATTGGCTCGAGATGGCATGTTCCGATTGCAACTCTCCTCAGACACACTAAGCTCGCTCGCTTCGTCTTCTTCTGTCTCGATTGCGCGGTGGCCCCCTTTTTGCGTAGCAATCAACATCTTTGACTTTCTTGAAGGCTTTCTCGACAGGTTTCATCTCATCACCGAGCATAGCACTGTGAACGAACCGCCTCAGCAGAACTCGTTCCATCAAGACCATACTACCTTGTGTAAAAGAAGGCAACAGGTGGGTGAATTAGTTTTTGTATAATCATTACACCGAATGTGATATCGATGGCGAACGAGGATCCCGCCGAGTCCAGCCTGTGAAGCCTTTCGTCGCGCGGAGAGCCCCAACGTCCGCCAATTCAGGTCATAACTGTTGTTCTTTGCAATCGTAACAATTCTCGAACCACACCCGTTGCCCTCCCCGTGATCCATCCCCGCCGCAACATCCCACGGCAACCCTCCGAGCCAAAGAACCCCCTTTCCGAGGTTTCATATGAACAACGGCCGGAGAGGCGTGGGCTGCGAGGGAGACGTCTCACCTGCTCCGCTTCATCTCCAACACTAGACTGACGGGCGAGCCGTTTACAGGTCCTGCGGCGTTTGTTAGCTTTCTGCTGCCTCGACATCAAGGAGGTCACGATGACGGGATGATGCTCACCTCGCAGTAGTCGACGGTGGTGGTGACGGTGACGGTAGGGGTAGGGGCGGTGGAGACGGCGGCGGTGATACCCCAGCAGTCGCAAGCAGAGGCGTACTTGACGGCGTCGCAAGACGAGGCGTAGGCAGGGACCTTGGTGGGGATAGAGGTGGCCTGGCGGGCCTCAACGGCGTTGCGCTTGAGATTGCCGGTGGGCTCCTCGGTGACGGTGACGGTGACGGTGCTGCGAGGTGTGTTAGTGCTCTGTTCGGTTCCTCTGCTCGACAGTCTGTCTGATGAGAGAGAGAGGCTCCCGGTTTCCTGTGAAGCCACGCCTGGGCGATTCCCTGTCCCTCTCATGCCACCTCCGGATTTGATATCCTCCTCTTGCTGGCTCCCTCGCAGGATTTCGACCGGTGCATCGTCGTGAGAGTAGAAAGAAAAGGCAACTCATAAACGTACGTGGGCGAGGGGGTGACGACGGTCAGCTGGAAGCTGGAGCAGTCGGACTGGCGCGCGGTGAGGGGCAGGAGGCCGGCGCGGGTACCGGTGACCTGACGGTTGCAGTTGTTGCCAGCGCAGGCACGCTGCTCGAGGACCGAGCCGAAGGCAAGGCTAGCGAGGGAGAGGATGACGGCGGCCTTCATTTTGACGGTTGGGTGAAAGTGATGCTGACACGGGGCAGGTCGATCGACTGAGGTCCTAAGG